TCCCCTCCCCCGCATCTGTGCTGAGAGTGTTTATCATGTGCGACGAAGTTGAGTGCGTACGTCAGGACCCGCGTGGCCGCCTCACTGTCTGCACCCACCACACCGCCTGCTGGCTGAGTCCCCGCGGGAGGATTCTCCCCTCAACCCCACCTCCTTCCGGTGGGCCCAGTGCACTCTATCCCACCCCTCCCTGCATGGGGCTGAGAAAGAACCCCTAGGCTTTTGAAGGTTTCCTATGTGCCAGGCATACAGAAATAAAGTAATGGAAGATGGTGGGGGTACTATTAAAACCAGAGCCTCAGTTTTAGCATCTTTAAAGTGGACATAGAAGGGCTCAGAATGACTTGATACTTGAGTGTGATATTGTCTGTACAGGCCCAGGGAAGAAAGACCAACAACAGTAAAAGTTAACTGCGGCTGCTATTTTTCTTACCATTCTTATTGAGAGCCTTCCAAGATCTACGGTGTCATCCATCAAAGGCCAGAACACAGGTGCCTCCTTCCCCTACATGCAGGTCGTATGACAATGCAGTTTTCCCAGGAGTTTGCCCTCAGTAGGAAGCTCCCATCAGCCAGGACTTGAAGCTCCCATTAGGGCACCATTACCTAAGATCAGTTTACTTGGAGCCCCCAAAATTCCCCAGGATCTGAGAATCCCACCACTGACCCCTGCCCTTTAGGCCAGGACTCACAAGGACACCACTGACCAATGATGGAGCAGCTGGAACCAGTCGGGGGCTGCTTCCTCCTACACAGTCCCTCCAATGTCTTCCATCTGGGAAGCTCAGCACTGTGCTCAACTGAAGTGAGAAATGCTTCCAAAGCACCATGTTTCAGAGGAGCAAAGATTGAGGAATTAGCAGTACATGGATAACTGGCAAAATGCATGACCTCACAATCCATACCGTAATAATAATAATAACAATAGTTGCAATTTATCAAGCACTCAATGTGTTTGATACTGTGCTATGAACATCACACATATTATGTCATTCCAATCAACTCTATGATTTAGGCTATTCCACTTGTCTGCATTTTATAATGGTGACCCAGAGAATTTAAACAGCTTAACTATAAACATGTAGCTAGACAGTAAGAGAGGCTGACTTCAAACCAAAGCATTCACAGTACAGAGAAATCCAAATGCGAACAGTGCTCCCTGTTGCTGTGACGGTTAGTTTTCTGTGTCTGCTGGGTGAAGGGTACCCAGACATCGGTCAGACACTCCTCTGGGTGTGCTGTGAGGGTGTTGCTAGATGAGATTTGGTGTGGTGGGCCTCATGCAATCAGCTGAAGATGTTGAATAGAGCAAAAAAGTCTGAGTAAAAGAGAAGACCTCCTATCCTGTCATGTCAGCTGGGACAGTGGCCCTTGTCTTGGCAATTGGATGGAAACTTTTGATTCTTCAGGTGTCCCAGTCCTTTGCACTTAGACTGGAACTGAGCCACCAGCTCTCCTAGATCTCCAGCTTGCTGACTGCAAATGTTGAGACATCTTTGCCTACATAATTGTGTGAGTCAGTGTTTTATAGTATATCACTTTATATGTGTGTGTGTGTGTGTGTGTGTGTGTGTGTGTGTGTGTGTACAATGGGTCCTCTGTGTCTGTGGTTTCTGCATCTGTGGACTCAACCAATCATAGACTGAAAAAGTTGGATCTGTATTGAACTTGTACGGACTTTTTTCTTATTCTTTTTTCTTTGTTTTTGGTGGTGCTGGGTGTTCTTTTTCATTTTTCTTTCTTTTACTTTTTTTGGGGGGGTAGTTCTGAGGATTCAACACAGAGCTAAGCTACATCTCCAGCCCTTTAATTTTTTTTGTTTTGTTTGTGAATATAGTCTTGCTAAGTCATTAGGTGGCCCACAAGGGGCTTGAACTTTTGATCCTCCTGTCATTTTCTAAATAATACAGTACAACTATGTATATAGCATTTGCATCATCTTAGGCTTTCTAAATAATCTAAAGCTAATATAAAGCATGAAAGAAGGTGTGCATAGGCTAAGAATACCTGTTTTGTATATCTGTGGATTTTGGTACTCATGGAGGGTCCTAGAATGAATCCAATCCATAGATACCAAAGCATGACAATGTACATGTTGGAGCATATACAAATGCATACAGTCATCCTTTGGTTCTGGGTTCTGTTTCTTTAGAGAACCCTGACTTAGTTTTCACTTCAGTATTCACTCTCCTTTCCCTTTTCCTAATGAGACTGAATTTGTCCTGGTAACCAGCTCCTTTCTTGGGCACACGCTTTGGAGGAGTCCTCTTTCCCATCACGGGGAGGTCATGACTGGTCTAAGACAATCACAGTGCTCCTATTTCCTTGGTCAGTGATTGGTTTCAACATGAACTTGAGCATGAGCCTGAGTGTGATTTGTGACTGTCAGTGGATGGAGAAGGAGCAGTGCTGGTAGGCTAATCATGTGGATGTGACTGCACGGCTGGCTAGGATTGGATCATGGTTCCTGGGATCCCTAGCCCTGAAGTTGTGGAGCCCCGGAGCCAAGAAATGCAGGTGGGTGTCTCCAGGGGAGTTGTAAGAGCACACTAATAATCCTTTTGATGGCCATCCTTGGTGGACAGCAGGCTGATGAAGGAGATGACTTCACTGTATACATCTCTATGTCTATTGTCTATTTTTCTATGTCTAAAACCAAGGCCAAAAAAAAAATCTTCCCTCCTTCCATAGGTAGATAAGAACTGTTAATCTCTACTTTTCTGTACTTCATTTTTATTTAAACTGGGCTGGATTTTTTTTCATGATTTGTCTCAAGTAAGTGTGTGGGTGAAATGATAGTAAGTACACGTGGAATAGGGATTTTAAGAAAAAAATTTTAGAGCTGGGACACAACAGATGGAAAGGAGTCAGTCAGGGGTGCAGAAGTGTTTGGGGAGGTGACAGCGTGACTGTATCATGAATGAAGAGGACAGTAGCCAATCCAAGAACTGGAGAAAGATCTCCCAGCAGGAGGAAGAACAGGTGCAAAATGAACAAAGTGGAATGAGCATGCCTACAAAGAGGAGAGGAAGGAGGCAGCTGGGACTCAAAACAGGTGGCTATGCAGGACCTCAAAAGTCCCTCTGTTCTTCACACCTTAAGGGTGATGAGGTGCCTCTCATCATTCTCTCACTCATTCTCACCCCACAGTCTATCCACCAGCAATTCTTTTTGATTTATTATAATAATATCCACTGTTATGGTTTGTGTCTAGATGTCCCCCTAAAGCCTCATGCAGTCATGAGGTAGACTTCTAGAGTTTATGATTGATTCATTGTTCAATGCTCGGATTATGGGTAGGAGTGCTACATAGGCTCTAGGGTGGATAGCCTGCATAAGGGAGGGAAAGAGGCTTGCCCTTGCTGCTCCTCCATTTTTGCTTCTGTTGCTTTTGCTGTGTTCTGCTGCCATGAACTGTTGTCCTCTGCCATGTGCCACTCTGCCTTGGAGCCAGAGGGTATGGACTGAAACATTCACAAACTGTGAGTCAAGTAAACTTTTCCTTCCTTAAATCTGGGCATCAGATATTTTGTCTCAGCAATGAGAGAAAAGTAACCAAGGCATCCACATAGCAGAAATCTCACCACTTTAATGTTTTATTTATTTATTTGTAGTGCTGGGGATTGAATCCAGAACCTTATATAAGCTAGACAAGAGCTGTACCACTGAGCCACCCCTCGGCTCTTGGATATTTTAACACTGACAGTTTGGTGATGTTTAGTGCATGCATGATGTTGCACAACCTCATTGCCATCACTTAGTTCCAGATCATCTTCATCACCCTAGAAGGATGACCTTTTTTCTAGTAGCATCCTGATGTGGTGTAGGGCAGGAGGCAAAAGAGTGATAGGTAAATATGTGTCACTTCTTGTCTCTGTCCTTCTTCCTATAAAGCCACCAGTATTCAATCATGGGACCTCCACTAATCACTTCCCCAAGGGCCCATCTTCAAATTGATTACATTTCTACCCTCTTAATACCCCAGATGGGGATTGAATGGCAACATATGAAAACCATATGCCTGTGAGCCATTGTATATCTTCTTTGGAAAAACATCTGTTAAGTCTTTTGCCCATTTTTAAAATGGTTTGTCTGTTTCTTGTTGAATTGTACAAATTCTTGATATATTCTGGATACTAGATCACTATTTTTTAGTTTTAGTTTTAAATTTTATTTTTAAGGCCATCGATATAGCTCAGTGGCACAGTGCCTGCCTGGCAAGTGCAAGGTCCTGAGTTTGATTCCTTGTATAAATAAAATAAATAAATAAATAAATAAATAAATTCTACTTTTATGACAGCATCTCACTAATTGCTAAGTTGCCCAGGCTAGGTTCAAAATTGAGATCTTCTTGCTTCAGCCTCCCAGAGTGCTGGGATTATAGGCATGGGCCACTGTGCCTAGTTAGATTCTTACCACACAAATGATTTGTAAATATTTTCTCTTGTTTTGTGGATCA